TTTTACATTCTTTTTTTTTATCCAGTCTGTCATATTCTTTTTTGCCAAAACACATAGTTCTAGTTCATTCTTTATACCATCAAATAGCACTGCCAGCATGGATGCACCATAGTTTACTCAGCCATTTCTGACTTGATGGGCATTTCGTTGTTTTCAGCTTATCATGATTGTAAGTGATGCTGCATTGAGTATGTATATCTATATACCTCACTGTGTATTAGAGTTCTCTTAGGGTAGATAAGGAGAAATGAAATTTCTGGGGCTTAGAATATACATATTTCTTATTTAACAAATGCATTTTAAGTGACTGACTTAATTAACTCTGATCAAAGAGAGATTCATTATTTTACACCTTAGTCAATGGTATATATCACCAAGCTTTTCAATTTTGCCAATTTGATTTTACTTTAATTTGCATTTCACTGATTGCTAGTGAGATTTTTGTACATTTTCTGTGAACTTCCTATTTGAGGCTTCTTTTTTTCCTTTTTTATTGATTTGTAAATGCTCTCTAAATAGACTGAATATTAATTCTTTCATTGCATTTTAAATGTAAAGACATTTTCTATGAATTTGTTAATTTTTTTCTATGTAAAAGGCATTTCTCACCCTGACTATCCAGACTAGAGGTAATTGTTACTTTCAAGTATCAACAGATCTGTCACCGAGGTACTTGCTTGTACCACGGTAATCGGGGGGTTTCATCATCCGTTTAGCACTAGCAGAGTTCTGTGGCAGTTGTGGTGTGAGTGAGGATTGGAGAGAGAAAGGATACTTAAGACCAGGAAAGATGTGAGGGAAGTCTGGCTATACCATTTGCAAACTTCCCTGATTTCCCGGACAACATCACATAATATGTGGATATGGGAATTTTTATTCTTCCTTTTCTACCTGATCAAATCCTCACAAGTTTTTATAGTCACAGAAAAAAAAAAAAAAAGTATATTTATTTAGCTCATAATAATGTTAGGAAAATAAAATGATAAAAATGCAAATAAATATCCTTTTTTATTTTTATTCATCATGAACATAATAACAAAAATCACTAAGTACAGAGTTCATGAAAAGCATTAGCCATATCATTTTTCTGTAGTTGTAAATATTCTCTCAATAAATTTTTAAGACTAGCATGTTAAAAAATACTTTACTTCCTGTTCACAAAAAAAATTATGAAAATGCACAAGAAAATGTATGAAAACTTGTTTCAAGAATATTTTTATTAGCGTGCTCGCTTCACCAGCATATATACTAAAATTGGAACAATACAGAGAAGATTAGCATGGCCCCTGTGCAAGAATGACGCATAAATTTGTGAAGTATTCCATAGTTTTAGGGAACGCTGTTAGATAGATAGAGATAAGTATTGATTTGGGTGAAGAGAAGGGCAATGTACCAAATGTGAGTGACCAATATGGC